AGAAGCTGTGTGGAGAGGGCTGGGCAGACCTCCAGATCTGAAGAAACAAAAATGGCATCTTTCTGAACAAATGCTTCTTAGCCATTTGCTGCTTGGGGATAGCTCGTCAGAATGACCTGAGAACAAAGGCAGGAGCCCCATAGCCACCAGTCATGGCCAACTCCAGAGTGGCCCCTCACCGCCCCCAGACAGCTCAGAGGTGCAGCCAGGCCTGAGGATAATAAGTGCCATGAGCAGGAGCTAGTGATGGGGTGGGGGCTGCTGTCAGTAAGGTCACACTGGCCCTTCAGCTTCCTGAGGCTGTCTTCAGTGCTCTGTCCCCAACACCTGGGCGGTACCTATTATCTTGTAGGCACTTAAGAAATGTCTCACAGGGACACCTGGGTGGCCCAGTCAGTTAAGCGTCCGACTTCGGCCAGGTCATGATCTCATGGTTCACGAGTTCGAGCCCCGCGTCGGGCTCTGTGCTGACAGCTCAGAGCCTGGAGCCTGCTTCGGATTCTGTGCCTCCCTCTCTCTTTCTGCCCCTCCCCCACTCATGCTCTGAGTCTCTCTCTCCTCTCTCTCTCTCAAAAATAAACATTTAAAAAAAAGATGTTTGACAAGGGCACCTGGGTGACTCCGTCAGTTAAGTAGCCGACTCTTGATTTCTGCTCCAGTCACGATCTCATAGCTCCTGGGTTTGAGACCTGCGTTGGGCTCTGTGGTAACAGTACACAGCCTATTGGGATCTTTCTCTTGCCCTCTTAAATACAAATAAGATTTAAAAAAAAAAAAAAAAAAAGAACATCTCACAGATAAGGCAAAGTCTTGATGACGACACAGCACTATGTCTGATTACTACCTCTGCAAGGGCAGTGACACACCACGTGTTCTACCCGGGGCCACCCCAGAGCTTGGGTCCCCTGTAATGAACTGCTATAAATAGGGCAGTTTGAAATTACACAACTATTCTCTAAAGGTCCTGGAGGCCAAAAGTTCAAAGTCAAGGTGTCAGCAGGACATGCTCCCATCAACGGCTCTACAGGAGGATACTTCCTGGCCTCTTCCAGCTTCTGGGGACTCCAGGCATTCCTTGGCTCGTGGCTCCATCACCCCAATCTCCGTCTCCATCTTCTCTGCCTCCAACCTCTCTTCACCTTTCTCTTAGAGGAGCACCAGTCACTGGATATAGGGCCCAGGTGGCCTCATCTGGAGATCCTTTACGGAATTATATTTGTAGCGGATTCTTTTCCCAAGTGAGTCACATTCACAGGTTCTTTTTGGAGATATAGTCCAACCCCGCATAGGCTGCCCAAGAGGGTTTAGTTGGCCCACGGACCACATCAAATGGCCCAGTGGGGACAGTATTCCCATTCTGGATGCAGCAGGGAGAACGTCATAGTTTTGGCCCATGCGTGTTTCCCACATCACCAAAGGGGAAGTGGCCTCCTGGCTCAGAGGCTGGGCTGCAGCATGCCTGCACCCGCAGTGACCGCCACGTCTTGTTTTCAGTCATTTCCTAAGTGCAGCAGGTCACACTGCTCCTCCCTTTCAGCGGCGACGGAAAGTTTGCACGTTGTGACAGGAGGAGACATCAGAGAACGTACTGCTATGATGTAAGAAGAGCTGCATGGCAGAGCATGAGTGTGACACTGAATCTCACAGGGACCCTAGTGAGACAGGTGTCATCGTTCCCATCGGACAGATGGGGAAACAGGCACAGAGAGGTACAGTGGATCAGCCCTGGCTGCAGAGTCGTGACAGGGCCAGAGGCTGAGCACAGGCCTGTCACCATCGCTATTACCCAGCAAGGAAGCGGGCACACAAATGTGGTGGTGAGCCGAATAAGGGACAACCCCCCCCAAGCGATGTCCATACCAGTCCCTGGAAACTGTGAACAGCTTACATGTCACTAAAGGGACCTCACAAAGGATATGGACCGTAAAATGGGGAAAGTACGCCGGGTTATGGGGGAGGGCCCAGCCTAATCACATAAGCCTTTAATGGCAAGAACTTTAATAGCAGAGAATAGACAGAAATAAGGCAGCAGCAGGAGAAATCCAAAGAAGCCCAAGTGCGAGAAGGATTCGACCTTACGCCCTGTGGCTGGTTCTGACCCTGTGGCTGGTTCTGACATGGAGAGACCACGTGCAAAGTTGAGGATTGGGGAGGAGCCTCCAGGTGCTAAGGCTGGCCCCAGGCTCAGAGCTAGCAACCCGAATGAGTCTGAAGGCATAGTCTCCCCTAGAACCTCCAGAAAAGACAGAGCCTGGCCAACACCTTGATTTTAGCCAGGTGGAAACCATGGAGAACTTCCCACCTGCAGAAACTGACAGAGAGATAAGAAATTTATTTTGTTGATAAAGCCTTGTCCTGGCAGTATCAAAAAATGAATACAATCAACAAGTGTCATTTCAAGCGTCACGGCTTCCTGAAGTCCATTTTAGGCTTTATCCTCATTCCACAGATGATGCTCGGGGAAAGCAGGGAAACCGTCAAAGACCGGAAGCACAAAAAAGGAAGCCTTCCCTACTTCAGAGTCCAAATTCCTCTCAAGCCTCTGGCTGCCTCCGTGAAGAAGTTTGCCATTCCTTTGCTTAGTGCTCCACAGGCCACCGGGACCTTCAGAATAAAACCCAAACCCCTACTGTGGCTCCCTGCCCACTTCATTCCCCATCCTCCCCCTCGCTCACTCCACCTCTGCTACACCGACCTTTTATGCTTTGACTACGCGGCACTCATCTCCGACTCGGCACCTTTGCCACAGTTTAGGGGGTTAGATGCTTCTCAAGGTTCAGTCTCATGTTCAAATGACAGTCAGAGAGGCTGACAGGCCACCAGGGGCTTACCAGACCACTGTCACATGAAGCAACTCTCCTCCCCACCATTTTCCAACTCAGCACTCAGGGAAGTGTATGTGGGTTTTTTTTTAAAGTTTATATATATTTTTAAGTCATCTCTATACCCAACATGGGGCTTGAACTCAGAACCCCGAGATCAAAAGTCACATGTTCTTCTGACAGAGCCAGCCAGGCAGCCCTTCAACTCAGCACTTTCTACCTCACCTCCCCCCTTTAGGCGCTCAAGCTGTTATTACATACTCACTCACTTCTTCACTTGTTTAATCTCTTCAGAGCACTAGGCGTGTACAAGTTTGAAAAAAAAAAAAAAAGACTCCGTTGAAAATAGAAGAGGCCAGAAGGGGGCGCTCTAAAGCCCTGACACTCCAGGTCAAAGGCAGATCCCAGCAGAAGAGAGGTACCATGCATTCCCCACAATACTAAACTTCAGTAGCCCCACAGGAGAACGAAAGATCTCCTAGCCAAGGAGAGACTGTCACAACTCAGGCAATAAAAAGCCAGGACACTTCAAGCTCCCGGTTTACTCCAGTAGATTTTTTTGTTTACAACAGCCCCACCCAACTCCCTCCTTCCCTCTGTGAAAAAGCAGTCCTTCTCCTTTGATCTCTGGATATGCCTATGGTTTTGCCATAGGTTACGTGTTGCAAACTGCAATTCTCCATTAATCCTCAATAAACTCATTTCAATGGTAAAATAAATGGCTGTTTCCTTTTTAACGTTAACAACCATGAGGGCGGGCAAGACCCTGTCAAATTCACTGTTCTTAAAGATTTGCCAATGGCTCAGTTTCAAAGTGTCCGGAACATCCATGTCCCTCCCTAAAAGTTCTTGCTAAAGAACCTGCCACCCCGTCTTCTGTCACCCACTGGCTGGGCTCTGCCTGGCAAGGTTATTTTCTAGCTCTCAAAAAATCAACCTCGTTCCCACCACTATCCGTCACACCAGCCTCTGACTTATTTGCTCGGTTACTGTCTCCCTTGGGAGACTGAGGTTTCCCAGAGAGCTTGGAGTTTTGTCACTGCTTTGAGCCCAGCACGAATACACTCCCTGACCTACAGGGAAGCTCAATGAGGAATGAAAGAATGAATGGGGCAGGTACGGGGAGAAATAACCAGGCTTGTGGGGCAGGGACCATTTCTCTCTGGAGCGGCGGTGTTAGCATTCTAAAACGAGACCAAACAACAGTCCCTCCTTCACGAGTACCGAGGGTACCGGGGCACACGTAGGCCTTCCCCAGGTGAAAATTACTACTACTACTACTACTACTACTACTACTACTATTATTATTATTATTATTGTAGCACAAACGTCTCCCTTATTCAAATTATTATTATTATTGTAGCACAAACGTCTCCCTTACTCAAGTCATTATTATTATTATTACTACTACTACTATTATTATTATTGTAGCACAAACGTCTCCCTTACTCAAATTCCTTCCACCGCGCAGAGGGAGATCTCGGAGTGAGCGGTACCACAAACTGTCACGGCTTTGAGTTTTGTCATAGGAAAAGGGTAATTCCTCACACCGCTCTGAAGAGATACGTGAGGGTGGGAAACGCCGCGAGGACAAGGAAGATTTTTAAAATCAGGGAGCGACCAGTGGCCACCAGGAAGTGGCTTTCGCCACCACCGTCCCCTCGCCCCCAAGAGGCCGCACCTTCACCCTCTGAGCCTCGTTAATGCACTGCTGGTAGCTGCCAATGTAGAAGGCATTCTTCACGTCGAACAGCTCGTCCACTTCCCCGGAGCCGCCAGAAGCCGGGCCTGGAGCCGGAGGCGCCATGTCGTTGCGGTCCCAGTCGCTCCCCTTCCGGAGGGACACGTCGGACGGAAAAAGGGATTCGCTGCAAAGCACGCTGGGAAATGTAGTTTACTCGTTCCGGCCTGGAAATGAGCCAATGGGAAACTTAAACAGGAGTTAAAGGACGGGAGTCGCACGTGCGATCCGCAGAGCATCTCGGGAATTGTAGTTTGACTTGATCACGCGAGCCAATGGGAATCCGGGAAACATGGTAAGCGTGTGGTCGAGACTGGGAATGGCAGAGTGAACTAAGGGAGGGTGGGACCACGCGGCAGGCTGTCCAATAAACTGTAAGGCTTCAGTGACGTCATCGGTCCGCGCCGGAAAACGCCGCTCACGCGAGTGGCTCACCCGGAGCTGGCGGGGAGGATGGCCGGCTTTGCGTCGCTCGGGCTGTCATCGTGGCTTGTGGAACAATGTCGGCAGTTGGGTTTGAAGCAGCCTACCCCTGTACAGCTCGGCTGCATCCCCGCCATCCTGGAGGGTAAGTGTGACCCGGCCTCTTCCCCAGGAAGCCTCCCCACTCCTATCGGCACCCTTTCCTTCTCGCAGCCTTTGCCCGTGCCAGTTCTGCTAGTCGAGGGATAAACTTGAGCGTTACTGGCGAGCTTGGGTCCCAGAGGTAGACTGGGCAGTGTTGGTATTTGGGCTGCACAAGTGACTCCCTGTGTGTCCGTACACAAGTGATGTAATCTCAGAAACTTTCGTGACCTCAGAGCGCATGATGAATCGGTACTGCTGGGAAAATTGGGTGGTCTGTGCTACCATTAATTATACAAATGGACTTTGTGGTTGTCACTATTGCTAGTAAACGCAGAACTCTGGTCCCGTGAATACTCCCCACTCTAACGGCCCAACCCAGTTTGCCATTAAAGAGATGCCCCTAGGAAACCTTAGGAAGTGACAGATTGAGAGATTAAATGAACAAAGATGAAGGAATAAATAGGGAGCCTTAGAACACAGACTGGGTGAAGGCATTCAGGTTTCCCCAAACTCGGATGCCCTGTGAGAGAGTCAAAATGAGATAATGAGTAGTGGCATCTTGGGTCAGGTGGATATAGATTCCAGTCCAGCCTGCTACTCACTGGCTGTGTGTCCTGGACACACCTCAGAGACTCATTTTCCCTTTTTATTTAATGGGAGCAATAATAGTCTCGCTCTCCTAGGATTTGTCAGGATGCCTGGGATGTAAATGGCATAGGCCAGTATTGAGCACATGGTAACTGCTTATAAACATTGGCTGTTGTCTACATGCTCAATGGAACACTTGTCTGCACCTGGAGCGTATTAACACTGTTTGCTCTCTACCCAGGTCGAGACTGCTTGGGCTGTGCCAAGACAGGCAGTGGCAAGACAGCAGCATTTGTCCTGCCCATCTTGCAGAAGCTGTCTGAGGATCCCTATGGTATCTTCTGCCTTGTCCTGACACCCACCAGGTGAGCCCCCCACAGTCCTCCCGGGTGAGTTACCCATCTGTGTTCTCTTGGGGAAGCACCTTCACCTCTTTTAGTGCACTTTTCCTGTGTTTAAAATGGAGACAAATCATGCCTGCCTCTTAGGGGAGGTACAGAATTAACCAGGATAAGGGATGACGAGTGCTGAGCACAAGGCTTGTCTCACAGCCAGTGGCTGGCAGGAGTTATCAGTAGTCTTATAGCCTCAGATGTAGACGCATTTCCTGTTCTTGGGCCAGCAAATGTGGAAGTTGACACAGTAAGTCTTGTAACAGCCTGTGGGAGAGGTAGGCGCTGCATGCTGTGAGGATGTGGCCTGGGGAGGGGACAGTTGAGAAAGACTTCATTCATGGGGTGCCTTAAAGGGACAAGTTTGCTGAAGGACATTCACTAGGCAGAGGGAACTCTAGTGCATTCATGCAGAGGTGTGAGAGAGGCAGGGAACAAGTTGGCCCATTAGAGTCAACTTGAGAAAGCCTGGAATGCCAGGAAGAAGGTTAGAGTCAATTCTATGGGCATGTGAGCAGGAGAAGGCAAGATGGAGGATAGGAAGTGGGTACATGGGCCAGGGAGAGGCATGCGCAGAGTTGGGGCTTAGGAGTAGAGAGGAGGGGACTTGGATTCACCAGTCCCAGGGGATAGGGGACTGACGCTTAGGTCTCAGGCTTAGGTGACTGTGTTGTCGAGGCCACTGCTGAGGAGGAGAGGCCAGTTTGGGTGAGACTGGAGGGAGAAGGGCCATGGCATGTTCTGGGTCCTACCCTGGTGAGGGGACAGGAGCCACAACAGGGCTCCAGTGTGCAGTTTTAGAGCCTTTATCCAAAGGGAGCTGGGAGCTATGGTGGATGTGTGAGGAGGTCTGAGAGGTGCACATGGGAATGGGAAGCAGGCACAGAACCCACATCTAACCCAACCTGGCCCCTTCACGTCTACAGGGAGCTGGCCTACCAGATTGCAGAGCAGTTCCGGGTCCTGGGGAAGCCTTTGGGCCTGAAAGACTGCATCATTGTCGGCGGCATGGGTACAGGGGGCCCAGGGAGGCTCTGGGTAGGGAACCCCCGCAGCCTCAGACCCCCCCTACCCAGACCTACCTCTTCCACTCCACCTGCAGACATGGTGGCCCAGGCCCTGGAGCTGTCCCGGAAACCACATGTGGTCATCGCCACACCAGGGCGTCTGGCTGACCACCTCCGTAGCTCCAACACTTTTAGCATAAAGAAGATCCGTTTCCTGGTGAGTCGGCCTGGGGCACTGATTCATCCATTTGGGACATGTGTCCCACAGGCCATCCAGTGGAGCATTAGGAAAAGTGACAAGGACAGCTGAAGGATCAACAAGAGGGGGACCAGCCAGGGTGGTTGGGGACAGGGCCTCTCTGAGGAGCTGAAATGGTTGAGGGTGCAGATGTCTGAGAACTGGAGGGAGACAGTTTCGGGGCGCCCGTCCAAGGCTGGGAGGGAGGCATGTGGGAGGCAGGCCAGGCTGGGCATGTGATCAGGCCCTGGACGGCACCCTCACCCCCGATCCCCTCCGCCTCGCTCCCTGCCACCGGGGCCGCAGGTGATGGATGAGGCCGACCGGCTGTTGGAGCAGGGCTGCACCGACTTCACCGCAGACCTGGAGACCATCCTGTCGGCCGTGCCTGCTCGCAGACAGACGCTGCTCTTCAGCGCCACGCTGACCGACACGCTCAGAGAGCTTCAGGGCCTGGCCACCAACCAGCCCTTCTTCTGGGAGGCTCAGGCCCCGTGAGTCGACAGCCAAGTTCCAGGGGGCAGGGCAGGCAAGGGGCAGGGTTGGGGGTCACACTCAGAGAGGTTATTGTCCACGGATGGTGCAGGGCCTTGGCTCCATTCAGCAGTGGGGGAAACTGAGCCCACCCATTCCCCAGGGTGCGCACGGTGGAACAGCTGGACCAGCGCTACCTGTTGGTGCCTGAGAAGGTCAAGGATGCCTATCTGGTCCACCTGATTCAGAACTTCCAGGATGAGCACGAGGACTGGTCCATCATCATCTTCACCAACACGTGCAAGTGAGCTTGGGCAGCCCTGCCTCTCTCTTCCCCCCAGCTCCCCTCCCATAGCTCTTTACGAAGGCCTGAGAGGTATGAGACACACAGTCAGACTTGGCCCTCCAGGGCCTCTGCTCAGACCAGAGATTTCAGAGGGTTTGCTCACGGAGGCCCGGAGAGGTCAAGCTGTTTGCTGAGGTCACTGCTCCTGAAGGTGGAGCAGGATTTGGGGCTTCTCAGACCTGCTCTTAACCAAAAGGTCCAGGAGCTTCTGGCCCTCCCCGGAAAACCCCTCCAGCAGCTCAGAAGGCCATGGAACAGCCTCTTCTCTGAGTCTAGGGGAGGCACTAAGGCCTGGCACATCAGCTCCAGTACCCAGGGCTGTCCTCTTTACAGTCACAGAGGCCTTCAAAATCCTTTGAAGCTCTTGGGGAGATTGTCAGGAAGCTGTGGGCTATCCTAGCATGAGTAGATAACGTAGCCTACGTCACATTGAGGAGACCTCCTAATTGGCTGCTTCCCTCCCCCCGCCCAAGAATTTATTGGCTACCAGAAAAGTCTGGATGTAGGGCTGGCTCTCATTGGTTTAGGCCAGGGAAGGGGTCGGCAGAGAGGATGTCAGCAGGCAGCATACCCCTGGCCCCTGCTTCTCTTTTACCAGCCATGCTGGGCGACCTACTTGTCTTGGGGATGCGGGGGCAGGAGCACCTTCCCGAGACCCTGGCCCTGCGGGGCTGACAGTGTGTCTTTCCCACCAGGACCTGCCAGATCCTGTGCATGATGCTGCGTAAATTCAACTTCCCCACCGTGGCTCTGCATTCCATGATGAAACAGGTGTCGGGGGGCAGGCCGCCCTGAGACCACCCCGGCCCTGGCCCTGGCGACTCGTCCCAGCCTCAGGGCCTTTGCCCAGGCTCTTCCCTCTGCCTAGAATACTTCCTGCCACCCATTGGCCTCAGTGTGGCCTTCTCATGGGTGAGCCCTGTGAGGGTGGGACTATCCTGGACTCCACCCCGTCCCCAGGCCTCACACGGTAAACACTCAGACACTTGCTGAGATGCTGCCTGACCCCTGGTCTCCCCAATTCTCTCCCCAACTTGGCAACAGAAAGAACGCTTTGCTGCCCTGGCCAAATTCAAGTCCAGCATCTACAGGATCCTGATTGCAACAGACGTGGCCTCGCGGTGAGTGGCCCCAGCATATTCCCTCCCATGTGTTGACCCAGTGACACCCCCACAGAGGGTCCAGAGGGCCGACCTCGGGCAAGAATTGGGGCGGCCCCCAACTTCACGGCTGTGTGACCTTGGGTGAGTCCCCATCTTGGTTTCTGCATGTGACAGGGGCCTGGACATTCCCACAGTGCAGGTGGTCATTAACCACAACACCCCCGGGCTTCCGAAGATCTACATACACCGAGTCGGCCGGACGGCCCGTGCAGGTAAGTGGACAGGGCGGGCTGGTCCTAGGACACCTGTCCTTCCAGCCTGCCCGCACTGTAAGAAACCGAAGTCCTGAGCTGGTGCAAGAATACGTGGGCACATAGCCCACAGGTGAGAGGCGGTGTTGGAGGGTCATCCTTTCAAAAGCAAAGGCAGGGAGCGCTCTGGCCTACGAGATTCTCTTCTGTCCTGTGGCCCCGGGTGGGTCATATCAGCTCTCTGGGCCCGTTTCCTCCTCAGATGACAGGTAACAAGAATGAGGCCTGCTGCTCCAAAGGTCATGGGACTCATCAGCTATCAGTGCTGTGCCAGCACCCATCGCCCTCACAAAAATGGGGAACAGAGAAACTAGTGTGCGCAGATCTGGGCCGAGGCCCGTCAAGGCTTATTGCCGACATGACTCCCTGGTAGCCATGCCCCAGAAGGGGGTCAGCCACATCACCAGCCCCCACATAAGGCCAGCCTAGCAGGAGAGCTGCCTCTCCTGGTGCCGTGTGTCGCCTCTGTGTTGGACTTGCCCTCCCTCGTTCACCAAGCTCTTAACTCTGTTCCCATCAAGAGGAGCCCTGAGCTGCCTAGGAGTCAGGACCTGTCTTTATTGGCCCCTAGCATGCAGCAGGTAACTGTGCTACGTCCTTGCAGGGCGGCAAGGACAGGCCATCACGCTGGTGACGCAGTATGACATCCACCTTGTACATGCCATCGAGGAGCAGATCAGTGAGTGGAGGGATTGGGCGGGGAGGGGAAGCAGGTGCCCCTGGGCAAGATGCCCACTCACCCCCTCAGACACCTGCCAGGCTGCTCACGTGGGCAGGCTTCAACTACACTTTCCTTTCTGTGCAACCCCAAATGAAGGCTTTTAGCCCAATTCTCAAAACAGAAGCTCCCCACGGTGGTCCTCAGCAGCTGAAAGCCACATCCCGTGGGAAGGGACTTCGGTTTCTCAGACTGGGGTGTAGGGGTGGTCCCTGTGGATGAGTCAGAGGCCCCAGGGACACGGTCTGGATGTGTTTAACCTCCCTCCCCTGCCGCCCCGGCCCTGGGGTCCTTTAATGTGTAGCCCAGACCAAGAATCACTGGAAAATCTGTAATCACTGCACAGACTGTCCTAAAACTCAAGAACCTCTGCACTTTAAAGGACAGTGTTTTGGGCGCCTGGGTGGCCCAGTCGGCTAAGCGTCCGACTTCGGCACAGGTCATGATCTCATGGTTTGTGGGTTCAAGCCCCACGTCGGGCTCTGTGCTGACAGCCAGCTCAGAGCCTGGAGCCTGCTTCCGATTCTGTGTCTCCCTCTCTCTCTGCCCCTCTCCTGCTCATGCTGTCTCTCTCTCTCTCTCAGAAATAAATAAAACATTAACAAAAAAACCCACAAAACTTCCAGTCAAATCCTAGTGCTGCTGACAACAAAAAAGAACAGTCTGTCTATCTTCTTTAGGTCTACAATCCCCGCTCTTGCTTACCTGACCGTTATCTGACATGACCTAGTCTTGCATGCCCCACTGCTTGGGGAGCTCACTCCGAAGCCAAAATCCTTCCACTTGTCACATCTGCCCCCTCCCGCCCCTACAGAGAAGAAGCTGGAGGAGCTCTCAGTGGAGGAGGCCAAGGTGCTGCAGATCCTTACGCAGGTCAATGTGGTGCGGAGGGAGTGTGAGATTGTAAGTATCTGAGGCCTTGGGACCCTGGGGGTCCCTTCAAGACAAGGGACCCCGAGACAGCCTCTCCTTCCCACTCCCCACCCGCCAGAAACTGGAAGCGGCCAACTTCGATGAAAAGAAAGAGATCAACAAGCGGAAGCAGCTGATCCTGGAGGGGAAGGTGAGGACCGAGCTGGCAGGGGGAGGGGGAGGGGAACCAGGGGACCGAGGGCCCAGCGCAGCCACCTCCCGCTATTCCCCGTGCCAGGACCCCGACCTAGAGGCCAAACGCAAGGCTGAGCTGGCCAAGATCAAGCAGAAGAACCGGCGCTTCAAGGAGAAGGTGGAGCGGGAGCTGCAGCGGCAGAAGGCGGGCGGGGCGGGCCGCAGGGCGCGTCCTCCCAGGGCCCCTCCCGAAGGCCCCTCGGCCCCAGCGCCCACCCAGGGCCAGTCCTGAGTTCTGTGCGGCCCCCACCTGCCCAGCCTGGGATTCCTTCATGGAACCGAGGGTCAGAGGGGCCCTCCCGTCCCCTGGGCCTGCTGTGTCCTTGTCGCTGGAACCCATGGACGCCCACACGGTGCACTGCGCAGCTCTCGCCGCCCTGCGGCCCCTTCTCAGCCTCTGCCAAGAGTCAGTCTGCAGAGGAGGAAAGGACACTGGCTGCGAGGTGTGGCTCAACTCCACACACAGGGACCCGGGTTCAGGGTCACCTCGGTGGGGGGTGCAGGGTGCCATCAGGCCCCCAGAGCCAAGGTGTGTTGCCTGCAGGACTCACTCAATAAATGAGTCTCTCCGCTTCCCGGGTCTGACTCTGTGGGAGTGGGGGCAGGGGAGGAGGGTTCAGCTGCTGATGCTTCCCGAGTCCCCTAGAACATCACCCCCACCCCACCCCACCCCCAGTTCTCCATTCCCGTTGGGCCAGGCCCGGAGCTTTGAACTGCAGTGCTGACCATTGTGGTCAGGTGACCTTGGGTTTGAGAAACGCTCTCCGGGCCTCAGTTTCCTCATCTGGGCACACCAATGGCACACTCTGCAAACATGGCCATCAGGTTCAGTGAGAGGACTCCCATGTATAGTGAACGCTACTGTGTTCTAGGAGCTTCCCTACCTGCCCACCTGTGGAATTTGGGGTTTGTAGCCAGAGTGAAGGGAGGGGATGCTTAACCAAGGGCCACCTGAGGGCAAACTGGTCCAGACAATGAGTTGAGCCCAGCGGGGTGGGGACAGCTATGCTGGGCAGAGCGGGGCTCCTGGCTCTGTGGCCTGGGCGTGCTCCTCCAGCTCTGAAACTTCCTCTTTTCACTGTCAAGTGGTTTTCTAAGGCTTCCACAGCCTGAGGGCGGCTGAGGCGCATCGCAGAGGAAGCAGGTAGGGGGTCCAGGGACGGCGGTTAGATGCCTGGGCACCCACACAACACACACGTGCACAGCCACTCTTAGAAATGTAATGTGGGCACCAGCACGTGCCCTGGGGATTCTAGAAATTCTACACAATGAAAAGCCCCCCAAATAGCCCCTGAGCTGTGAGCGGCCAGGGCCAGCTGGGGCATTATGGCCAGGCCCTCCCCGGGCTGAGCTGGGCTCCCAGTCCCTGCCAGGGTGAACGGCCCACTGTGCCGCCTGCAGCCCGGCTCGTGCCCCGGGCGGGAATCATGGTATAAAACCAGCCCCTACAGGCCCCGCTCCCACGCAGACCCTGTGGCCAGGTTAGGGCGTGCCCTCTGCCAGCCGGGCAAGGCCCTCTCGCAGCTCGCTCAGCTCAAACAGCCTGACGTCCAGCAGCTGTGCGGCCCGGCCCACCTCAGCCCGCGCCCGCTCCCGCTCGGCCCGCGCCTCCTCCAGGCTGCGCTCCGTCGCCCGCAGCTGATGCTCCAGCTCGGCGTTGCGGGTCTCCAGGTCCTGCAGGGAGAGGACAGGCAGGATTTGAGGCCCCAACAAGTCTTAAGGGTCACCAGCCCCACCTGGGGCACCCAGCATCTGTGTGTCATCCCAGCAGACCCCACCCTGGGCTGGGCCGGGCCTCCTTAGTCTTGGCCTCCCTGCAGCTTCTGCCCAAGACACTCCCTGTGCCCCTGGCCCATCTGAACGTCATAGAACTGATCACAACCCTCTTCTGCTCAAAACCTTCCTGTGACTGAAATCCACACCTCTCCCTCTTCTCCTTGTTCATTTCAGCTCAGCCTTGCTGGCTTCCTTGTGGTTCCTTGAACATGTTGAGTGTCTCCCCACCTCAGGGTCTTTGCACATGCCGTGCACTCTGCCCAGGAGACAAGAGGGAGCATTTCCCCAACTTCTCTCTTCTGGGTCACCAGATCCTTTAACATCTTCACCTATGGGACTCATGGAACGTGCCCCATGAACGTTTCTCAGGTAAAGTCTTCAGCGAAAGCCAGGCCAGGAGCGCCTGGGTGGCTCAGTTAAGCATCAGACTTTGCCTCAGGTCATCATCTCACGGTTTGTGAATTCCAGCCCCGCATCAGGCTCCCTGCTGTCAGTGCACAGCCTGCTTCGACTCCTGTCTCCTCTCTCTCCCCTCCCCCAGAACTCTCTCCCACACTCGTTGGCCCATCAGACTTGGGTTCAGATACAGTCTCCTGATCTCAGGCTGCGGATGTGTGAGGACTTAATGGGGTCAAGGATGAGAATTCAGCAGACACTCAAAAACTGCTTGTTCAATGAAAGAATATGAAAAATTGTACTGATAATCGTCCTTTACAAAACACTGGCTGCAAACAGGCTTTCCATGCACCTGGGCTTCCCAAGCCTTCACAACCTTAGGTAACTCTTCCTGACCCCTCCTACAGGTGAAGAAACAGTCTTGGGGAGGCACATAGCTGCCCAGGACCCGCCAGGAAGATCCCAGCCCTGTCCCCAACGGGGGCTGGCTGCGTCTGTGCAGACACCCCACCCCATGGCAACTACACACACCTGCACCTTCTGCTGCGTCTCCTCGCGCTCAGTGGTGTCCGGGGCCTCCCGGGGCCCACCGGTCTGGCTCTTCAGTGTCTGGATCTCCTAGAGAAAAGTTCCCAGGGTCTATCCCGGGGCTCCTGGCTCCCTCGTGAGGGGTCAGGGAAGGTGAAGCCCAGGGACACACACTCCGCGCTCACCTGGTCCTTGGTCTGCACTAGTGCCTCCAGCTGCTCCAATGACTGGCCTGGCCCTTCCTTCTCACTCACTGAGGGTGGCTCGGTGGCTGCCTGGGCCTCCAGCTCTGCTACCTGTGTGGACAGGAATGTCAGCTCCTGACCCCTGGGGACTGTCCCTTGCTCAGTCACACCTGAGAGTAGGCACTCATCCCCTCTGATCCCAGCTACCAACTCAGAGCAGGTAGGACTTTAGGGTTTGACAGTACTCAGACAGTACTCAGTACTCAGACAGTACTCAGCCATAATACAGAACAAGAAACTGAGGCTCGGGGAAACAGCCTTCCGAGATCACGCATCCACTGAACCCAGTACGGATAAGACAGGCGGAGGCAGGGGCTCCACAGTTACCAGGGGGGCAATTAGAGTCTCTGGGAGGGAGGGGTCCCCTCACCCGCTGCCGCAGCCTTTCAGCCTCTGCACGCTGGGCCTCCAGCTGCTGCCGCCACTGGGCGGCGGCGGCGTTGGCTTCTCGCAGGGCGCCCGCCAACTTGTTGTTGCTGTCCTGCAGCGCGAAGAACTCGGCCTCCCACTGCACCTCGCTCACGGAGCTGCAGGGATGCAGGGGTTGGCTGGGGCAGGGCCGGGCAGCCCTGCGTTTGGGGGCAGGGCAGGACGGGGCTGGGGGCGGGGCGGGGCTGGGAGCCGGGCCATGGGTGGGGACGTCGAGGGGTAGCCTGATCCTGTCTCGGGCGAGGTCAAAGTAGGTGCCTGGGGTCGGCTCTGGGAGACAGACGGAACGGGGGGCGGAGCCAGCCCATCGGGGCGTGCTCTGAACAGGGTGAGGGTGGGGAGGCACCTGGGGGTTTAGAATTTGGCCGGGGAGGCGTAGAAGAGGCAGGGTTAGCCCCGAGGAGCGGGCGAGGTAGGGGCGGGGTCAGTCCCGAGAAGGCGTGGTCAAAGGAGGAGCACATTCCCGGGGCGAGGTCAGCTCCTAAAGGGGCGGGATCCGAGTCGGCCTCCTCCCTTCCCCCCGGGCAGTGGGTACAGTCAGATCCCGTCGCCCTTAGGCTTCAGAGAAGCCCCTCTCCGCGCCAGTAGTCCTGCCACGCCCTATGCCCGGCCCTACCCCCCCCTCACCCCTCGGAGAGCATCTTCTTGAGCCGCTCGCGCTCTGCGGGGCCGGGGACGTCCGCGCTCTGGCTACGGAACAGTTTCTCGTCACCGGGGCCGTTGGCGCTGACGAGAGGACTCGGGGGCACCTAAGGGCGTGGGCAGAATCGGGGTCACACTGGGGGGCGGCTTCAGTCAAGGACCAGTTAGGTCATGGCTGAGGTCAGGGCCGATGTTACTGGGGTTGTGACTGAGGACAGGGGTCTCTCCCAGCACTGGGATGGGAGCACGCCCCTCCTCTCCTCATGCACCTTCTCTGGCTCCCCATGGCCCTGGGTCAGAGTTTCCGGCACCGTATCCTGACCTGGACTGCCTGGCTTCTCACCAGGCCCCCAGGAGCACACTTGATGCAGGCTGGTCTAAATAAGCCCACTGAGATATTCAAAATCTGCAAGGGAGTCAGGGCAATGTGAAATCTCTATGCTATTCCCTCACAGCAATGCCCTTCCCTGGGGCCAAATTTCAACATGCTTTTAAGATTCTGACAGGAAGCCTTCTACTAGGCTGAATTCATTATGAATCCCCCTCCCAGGCCTGGACCATGAGCCCTGAAGGCAGGGACCAGCCTACTTTTTCAACTCCTAACCCTCTTTTCCACACAGTAGGTGGTCAGTAGATTATGCTGAATAAATTAATAGGGGAAAGTGCCCAGGGACAATTCTTTTACTCTGCCCCTCTACTTAGCCATTTCAAACCTCCAGGTTTTTACTCTGCCATCTAAAGCTGATTTTTTTAATGTTTATTTTTAATAGAGAGCACAAGTGGGGGAGGAGGAGAGAGGGAGGGGGACAGAGGATCCAAAGCAGGCTCTGTGCTGACAGCAGCAAGCCTGACAAGGGGCTTGAACTCGCAAACCCTGAGATCATGACTCGAGCTGCAGTCGGATGCTCAACCGAGCCACCCAGGTGCCCCTAAGCTTGTTTCTAGGCCTCCCCTGATCCAAGGCTAGGCAGGCCCCCAGAATGTGCTCCTGACGCTTTTCCTCCAAGGCTTCTGCTACAGGTCTAGCTTCACACGATCTGTGAGTGTTTGGTCGTGGGCACTCGCACAGCACCAGGACCCTTGATATCAGCTGAGTGACTGGCAGGCATGGGACAAGGGACACTGACCTGGTGGGAAGTGAGTCCCAGGGCTGGACTGGTGAGCTCCCCCCCATCCTGAGATTTCTCCCTTGCCAGCCTCGCTGCTTCCTTTACTTCCTGGAACTTCTCAGCAAACTGGGGGAAGGGGGGGAGAGAGAACAAACAATCAAAGAAAACCCAGCCCCCTCTCCCAGAGCCCCACTAGGGCACCCCCTACCCCCACCCCCAGCACCAGCCCTGTCACTTTGGAGGGGACTTTAGGAGCCACTCATATGCTCTCATCTCATGAACTAGAAGAGTGGTAAGAAGGCTTAGAAAATGTCCCCAGTAGGGGCCCTTGGGTGGCTCAGTCGGTTAAGCGTCCAACTTTGGCTCAAGTCATGATCTCACGGGTCATGGGTTCGAGCCCTGCGTCAGGCTCTGTGCTGACAGCTAGCTCAGAGCCTGGAGTCTGTTTCAGATTCTGTGTCTCCCTCTCTCTCTGACCCTCCTCTGTTCACGCTCTCTCTCTCTCAGAAATAAATAAAACATTAAAAAAAAGAAAAGAAAATGTCCCCAGCAATCAGACTGAGTATCATGGTGGAAGGTGGGATGTTCATGTAAATGTATTACATGGAGGCACCCTGAAAAAGGGATCCCCTTTTCCTCTCAGTCAGGCTTATTTCAGCAAGGAGAGCCTCAGGTGCACGCTGTCTTTAATGCCGGGACACTTGTGAATACCTTTTTATAACAGAGAGAAAGCAGGTCTTGGGCTCAGAGCCTCTTAGAGGCCCCTATAGTCAGTGAGCAAATAAATCACCCTTTTCTCATTTTTACTGAACCAATGTTTACATTTACCAGTTTTCCAGTTAGGGTAGGATACACTCACTGTTTTTCATTTTAAAATACATTTCCTTAGTTTGAAAGTAAATTTTTTAAAGAAAATATTTATATACACACAGTCACTTGATTGGGGCCAAGGGGCCAGTGCAATTCATTGCGGGGAGTAGGGGGGTGAGGGGAGAGAGGAATGATCTTTTCAAAAAACAGTCTAAGAGCAACCGAATACTCAGTGGGAAAAAACACTCCTACCTTATATACCACCCACAGAAATTAATTCAAGACCTAAATTTGAAAGGAAAATTAAAGCTTCTAGAAGAGAAGAAAATCCTCACGATCTCATTAGGAGTCAGAAAGCACTAACCATCCAGGGAAACATGGATGAGACAATACTGAAGCCTAGAGATAGCAGAGGGCGGAGGGAGGCGATGATGAAGTAGTGCCAGGGTGCGTGAGGGCACTCTCAGCCCATCCCTGGCACCCAGAGAAGGGTAGGGTGTGTCCAAAATTGGAGCAAGTGGCCAGCAGAGCTGAGACATGAACCAGGGAACCAGGAAGGGGCTTCTGGCTTTTTCTGATACCCATTCTACAGCTGGGAAGATGGAAACCCAGCACCTGCCCAGAGGCCCCAGTATACCTAGAAGACCCAGGCCCAGCTCCATCCCTCCCACCATGTAATCCTACCAGCCCACCTGGGTCAGATGCTGCTCAGAAGCAAAGCCAAGGCCATAGACAGTGTTGGCGCGACTGTCTGCCCACTGTCCAAACTTCTGGGAGGTTTTGGTAAACGTCATGTTGGGGGTGACAGTGCTATTGATGATGGCCTGGGGAGAGCGAAGTTCAAGGCTGATGAGACTGATAATACTGACCAAGAAACCCCCAGCGTGTCACTTTGTCTTAACTCCTAGGAGGTCCTTGGTCTGAGCCATTTCAGGAGGGAGACTGATCCAGGGCTACCCCCTCAACCCCAGCCCCCAGGCACGCAAGGCAATGGCCAGACCCAGGCCTGATGCTGAGACCCCTTGAGCCTGCCACCCCACCCAGGCCCTGCCAGGACCTTGGCACCCCCAATGCTGATGATTCGGTAGACATTGCGGGTGGCATCATAGAAGTAGGAGACAGTGAGCGCGTGCTTGCCCGCTGGGATCCAGTTCCGCTTGGTGGTCGGGTCAATCTGAAACACGTGCGCCCTTGTGCTGAAGATGGGCTGCTCCCTGCATGGGGAGAGGGTTCTCAGCGGGGCTGGGTATCCCCCAGGGAACTCAGGGCCAAGCTGGGGAGGCAGGGACTCACCTGGCTGTGGACATTGGTCAGGCTGGGCTGGGTGGGCTCCGAGAGGCAGCCAGAAGGACGACAGGAGCTGCGGTTTCAGGCTCTGTGGGGAGAGGGGGGATTTTGAGTGTCTCCCCAGGACAGGCTTAGGGACACCGAGCGGGTCCAACCTCAGGGCGCACCACCAGGTACAGACACCATTCATAGAACCTCGGCCAAAAAGGTGAGAGAATTAGCAGATCACCCAGAGCAAGCAGACCCTGTCCCTCTCCATCTGGAGGAAGCTCTCACAACACCTTGAGCAGGAGCCAGGTGGCCCCTAATAGCCCAGCATAAGCTTCTCAGCATGCTGGTTACTGAAACCCCAGAGAAACCCCCTCAATCTGGGGGCTGGGTAGAGAAGGGCCAAGGTGAAATCCTGCTTGGGATTTTCTGCCACATTCACTCATCACTCCCCAAACCAGGGTCTCTGTCAACATTTAGGGCATCACTGGGTACCTACTGGGACACCAGTCCCCCCACCGAACCCACAGAGAGACACCCTGGCTTCCACCCGAGGGCAGAGGCACATCTTGGAGTCAACAATCCCCAGGTAGCTCCCAGGGTAGTTAAACAGATAAGATGTAGCCAAACAAGTTTACCCTGGTGCCCACTACCAGATCGCCCATGACCACTCAATACCAATACCGGGCAGGGCTGGGTGGGACCAGGGATTGGGAGAGGGGGCTCCCCAGCCTCTCTTGGTTCCTCTAGCCACAACCCCACAGAAACCAGGAACAGTTGCCCTGGGGAATTCCTGACCCTTACCTCTGTGTCCCCAAAACCTGCGCCAGGGGGATCTGTAGGGGATCCAGGGGGGACCTGGGGGAAGGAGGTGGCAAAGTGGGGGAAGGGAGGCCCCAGTGGAACGGCCTCCTTGGTCAGAGGAGGGATGCCCCCCCACCCTGTCCTGGGCAGCTGCTGCCCTGGTCACAGGGTCTGAAACCGGAGCCCCTGGGTGGGGGAGGGGCGGCAGCTCTGGCCTGGGTTGGGAGCGGGTCCTGGGTCGAAGCAGGGTTCCAGGGTGCAAGGGTCCCAGGAACACAAGCCCTTCCGGCCCTGACAGTCCTGCCGAGACTTGCAGCTTTGGGGAAAGTTACTCACCAACCAGTCATGTGCCTCAGACGCCGCTGGCCGCGGGGCTCCCGAAGGAGGCCCCGACCCCGCCCGGTGCCCAGGATCCCCAATCGCGTGTGGGGGCGAAGCCCCACCCCATGCGCCCCAGTCCAGGGGGCCTGATATTCAGTAAGGAAGGAGTTCCCATCCGCGTCAGAAGCGGGGCGCCCAATGCGCGCCCCAACTTCGGGAAGTGCCACCCTCGACCTGGTAACTTCCGAGACCGCCGCAACGCCCCCCAACTCCCGGTCCAGAACTTCGGGGACACATTCTCCGCCTTCTCCAACTACAGCTCCAGAACATCGGGGATCCCTCGCGCCACCGCCAGCTCCCAAATTTCGGGGATTCCCTGCCACCTCTCCAGCCTCGGGTCCGGAATTTCAGGATCCCCTTTTGCCGACTCCCCATCCCAGGCCGGGGACGTCGGGGACACCGCAGTCTCCTCCAACGCCAGGACTGGAACTTTGGGAACCCCTCGGACTGTGCCCTCTCCGACCCCGACTCCGGAACTTCGCGGCCCCTGCGCCCTCTCAAGCCCTGGAACTTCGGGGCTCCCCGAGCCGCCCCCAGCCTCCGTGTCCAGAACTTCGGGGACTCCCGCACCCTCCCCCTGGCCCTAGAACCTCGGGGGCCCCCACGTCCCCGGAGCAGGCTCGGACAGTCGGGCTCACCCTGCGGGCTCGGCGCCCCGCGAGCGTCCGGGCGCGAGTCGGGTGCTGGCCCGCGGCGCCGACTCCCAGCAGCCGGGCGCCCCGTTCGCTTGCTGGCTCCGGGGCCCGCGCCCTCCGCGCCGCCCTCCGCGCCGCCCTCCGCACCGCCCGCGCCTTTGTCTGCGCCTCCGCCGCCGCCCGCGCCGCCTCCGGTCCCATCGCGGCGGGTCCCGACGCGGCCGCCGCCCGCCCCGCCTCCCCGGGCCTCCGAGGCTGCCCCGCAGCGCCCCCTGCCGGCCCTCCGCGGCGGGGGGGGGGAGGGGGAGAGGGAGGGGCGGAAGCTGGGAGGAAGCCGGGAGAGGACTGGCGGGCAAGGGGTTAAGGACGGGGAAGAGGGACAGGGTGGGGATGGGGACAGAGAGACCCAGAGATAGAAAGATGGGGGAGGGGCACGGGAGACAGATGGAGGATGTGGCTTCATTGTCCTGTCAGGGGTGGCCTTGACCCTCCAGGTCACTGCTGCCAGGGCTCTCACTGCCTGAGGTCATGACCTTCTGCTTTTGATGGGATTCCCTCTCCACCTGAGGGATCCTGGGGCAGGGGCACCTGTGCCGCACAGAGGTGGGTGCCTGCACACAGTAGGTGCTCAGTAGGTAATGAGTGAAAGAGGAACCGGCAGAGCTGGAAGAGGCTGAGAGAGGCAAACAATAGGCACTTAACGAGGCTTAATCAGGGGTGCACTGTTCAGAATCCTTCCTGCTTGACTTCCCACCCAGTTCTGATCCCCAGTGGGGGAAGGGCTTCGTCCACCCTTTGTCTCCCACAAGAGGACGGCCACAGCACCAACGACCGTTAGATTATCAGCACTGCTATGCCGTGGGGTCCCACAACTTAAGGCAGAGGGAATGTTGGGGCCCGGTTCCCACCGAATGAGTGAACCCCCTGGAGGCCCTCAGGCCTGGGTTTGCCATCTCTGGTCAGAGGGAGCCCTCCATGCACTTGCCAGGAGAGGGTCCTTCTGGAGCTGAGCCCAGCCTCCCCAGGCCCAAGTCCACCTGTGGGGTCCACTGGTCAATCCCGTGGCCCTTCCTCTGGAGTCCTCCAAAGTCACACAGTGCCATCAGCTTCATGGACAGAGGCACTGCAGCTCCTCAGAACCCAGGCCTGCAGTTCCCTAAGGTTCTGAACCTCATATTTTGTTTTGTTTCTGGTGCAAAAAGGCGAGTTCATTAAAGCTGGGGTACCGGAGCCACGCGCAGAAAGAGCTGCCTGAACCCCATGCTGGAACCTGCCGACCACCTCAGAGGCTTTGCTTTTCACCTTCTCTGTCCCGTCTCTTTTCCCTGTTCTTTTATTTGTTTCCCTGACGAGAATCGTACATCTGGGCTGGGAGCTATCTTCCAATTACCTTTAGGTGAATTACTGGTTGTGTCGTTTCCGGAGACTTATTCCCAGGCCAAGGTCAGGGTTTACTTCGCTTCAGGTTTTTGCCCAACCTGCTCCCTCCACCTGGAAAGCCCTTTCTGCAGGCATATATTCCACCTTGTCATTCCAGGCTCAGCACTCCTGCCACCCCCCACCCCCGGCCTGGAAGTTTCTCTCACTATCTTGAGCATGCAGGCGATCTCACTGTGTTCTGCGCTATGCCCCCATCACTTTCTGTGGGACCCCTGATCTGTATTACCTGTTTATTACTTGGGTCGTGGCCAGATCTGGGCATTTTGGGGAGGACTGGCCCATCCTGGGGCCCCAGCCTCACCCAGTATGAGAGGAACTGCTCATCCCTGCTAGGGAAACTGAGCCTGCGCCTCAGTTTCCCCAGATGCTTCTGACTTCACGAGGCATCTGCACAAGCAAAGGATTTGGCTTTGCTTTCAGGCCTGAAGCCACAAAATGCTTTGAACATTGTGGGGAACAAAGACAATACCGTCTGTTCTGTGCAAAGAGTGACTTTTCCTTATTACCAAAAAAAAAAAAAAAAAAATTTAAGTAACTGGGAAAGGTGCCGACAGGGCCGAGGCTTCTGGAAGCCACTCAGTGTGTGCTGAGTGCTGGACGGCTGCAGCGCCACGGCCATGTGGCCATTCTGTGGGGGCGGCCAGGAGAGGGGCCAAGGCAGGCTTTACCCCTTGTGTGGGCAGAAGACAAGGACATGAGAGTGGAGAGTTGAATCACTTCCTGGAGCCCCGCTCAGGCTTCCGGGAGGGGTTGGGATAGGCTCACCTTGAGCAGCCGTGACCTGAAGGTATATTATTCAAGTACAAATTGAGTGAGTGGCTTTGTCAGTATGGACCTCACTTTTTTCACCTGGAGAATGGGCTGGTGCTTGCAGGGTTGGGGGAAGAGGGAGGAGGCAGGAGAATCCAGGCAACACCAGCAGTTCCTCATTCTCCCCTGGGTATAGACTGCCCCAAGAATGGCAGCCCCAAGCTACCACCTCCACCCCAGCCTGAGACCCCTTCTGCCAGGGGATGTCCTTACAGTGTGGGCAGAGGCCACCACTCCAGGGTGGCTGATTAGGAGCGATAGCTTTCCCTTGGTGCTGATGGAGGATATGAGAAAATGAACTTCCTGTCACAGAAGGGATCAAGCAGAGAGTAGAACTTTGGCTGTAGGGAAGCTGCATTTGCAGAGTGGCTCTTACAGGTTTGTCTCTGGCCTCTGCCTCGTTAAATCTGACCCACCTTTGGACTGAAGCTAAATGGTCTCTCCTCCCTGGAGGATTCCTAGCCCACCAGATCAGGGGACGTCTGTCACTCTTCCCCAAAGCCACATGCCTAGTCTTACGGTATGGATGACATGGGCCACTTAGATCTGTTTATGACATGATTTGGTTCCTATCCACCTCTTCTGTGGTTCTGTCCCCAGCACCTAGGTCAGGTCAGTCCTTACCTGCAGCAGTAACTCTTTAAATGCTTCAGGAAGGAGAGGGTCCCCAGGCCCCAGTATTGGTCTCCAGAGTCACGTGACCAGGGAGTGACTCTCAGCCCTGCCTCTTACCAGCAGCGTGGCCTTAAAGAAGACATTTTCCCCGTTCTGTGCCTTAGTCACTCCATCTATAAAATGGGCATAAAAATGGTGCCCACTTCTGAAGTTTCCTATAAGGATCCACCAAGTGCTTGTGTGAAAAGGGCATGACCCCAGGAGCTTAATAAATGCCAGTTGTTATAAACACTATATTTATTCTTGGCTGTCTGAGCGTGTGGTTTTGATCCTGAGCCAAATTCTTAAAGATTTTCTTTCAGGGGTTGAAGGATCCCAACTAGGCATGAGCTTTCAAGGATAGAAGTAGGTCCAA